TGTTGTATGAGTAACTTAAGTAGATCTGGAGTATCCATGCCCCACTGATGGTTTGTCAATAGCTTGACGAACCGGGGAGGGTGTTCGTGTGTCTGGATACGAGCATGGTTGATCTGCTAGCAGCACGGGGGGGTACGTATACAGGAGCATGCGTATGCCTGAAAAAGGCTACTATGTGTGGGCCCCCTTCCCCGAAGTCGGGAGGGCCACTTCTTCCCTTCCTTTCCTCGCTCCCGCGGGTGCCTAATCAGAGAGAGTTATAGCGTATCTTCTCCTCCCAAGTACGGACATACCAACACGTGGCACGTATTCTTGTTCGAGAAATATTCCGGAAGCATGCTAGGTCAAAGTCGACCGGGACATGTAGATAGAACGTGTGTAGCTTGCGGAAACCTTCTGGAACTTTCTGGAACCTTCTGTAAGCTCCTGAAACGTTCTAGACCTAGGTTGCACTTGATACTCTTCTAGAACATAGGAGGGCTTCCAGAATCATTCTGAAGGCATTCTAGATCGTTCGTGAGATTGGCTTATTTGTCCATTATTCTAGGAGAGTGGTGCAGCCCTAAGCTCGCCACCCCTCTCACTCCTCTTCAGTACCAGCAACATCAATCTGACTCGGGAGTCAGCAATTAATGAAAATTTCTTCACATTTCCATTCCAAGTCTCTCGCGGTTGGAGCCGCATAGAGTGTGAACTGAGGTAGGCTACAGTCTCCTGGCATCTGCAGCATCGTACTGCTGCTAGTGCACAACGAAATGACGCTGACATATACCTTAGGACGATACGATGTATCGAAAAGTCGATACGACTCCAACACTACTAGCTACTCACAGTCCACCACCGGCCAACATCAATGGCAACACCCTGGCCGAATTCCATGAGGACATGCTTTCCTAAACGACATCCCCTGATGACCAGAGGGTTGCACATGAGTGGCTCATGGACAACCCATGGACAGTCAAGGGCTGGCCCTGGTATGTCCAGGTCCGACGGGTTTCAGTATCCCAGAGGCCCAAAGGCGATCGTTGAGTGGACCGTCGTTGGCCAATAACCCATAGGATGCCCATGACGACCCGTGACAAACCTAATACGGCTCAGCACGACTCGCCAAAGCCGTAGGGTGAACAACTACTTTCGGACCGCCATGCATCGCATGATAGGGCCGTGCTAGGTTGCCCGCGGACCGACCGGTTTGGCTCTTTTGCCGTCCAATGAGCTCGACACGGAGTATAGCTCAAAGATTGCACTCATTAGGCGTCCCACGGTACAAACATCCTTCAATTCACCCCGTGGATAACCCATTGACGCATGGTGAGGGGGCGGCCCATGGGCGGCCCATGACGACCCTTGGACTTCCATGACGGCCGGTGGCGGTCCTTGGGCGTTCCATGGCAGCCCATACGCGGCCCACGGAAAGTCGAAAGGGCACTTTCCATCGCATGCATGCCCCGAGTATGCCTTCATGGCTCGGGGACTCTCGGCACACAATACGAAAAGGATGCTCAATACAACCAAGACGATGCACATGATGGTTCGAGACCATGGGCCCATACTCAATTATCATTTGACAAAGATTGACATCGATTCACCCGTATGGACGCATTTACTGTTCATCAGAGGTTAACAAAGAGTCCGTCCGAAACGTGCTGGATGCCACGGGTCACGAGCTAAATCCAACTTCGTGTTACGTGTGGCATATTTGCACTTCCACAGTTGCGAGATCCACCTCATCGTTCGGTGCAAACGAAACGCCAAGCGTACCAATTTGACGCCGCAAGACAAACGATAAAATGACCTAGACTATTGAAACTGTTGCGGGTGTTGTTTCTGTTGCTTAACAACTTGTTGTCTGGCTCGGACGAACCTGACCGGCTCGGTTCGAGCAATATCAGCCTGCACTCGAGGCTCATTTGGAGGAAAACTCTCACCGTGATGGCCGCGCAGGCAGCAGAGAGCGCGTTCATCAGCCTCAAGACTGCTGGAGCTCTGAAGATGGCGAGTCCGGTTTCACCCACAAATTTCCCGGCTGTTGTAGCAGTGAACCCTGCCCAAACAAACAAGTGACGTCCCTCCGCCAACTTCTTCAATCTGACCTCCAGGCTGTCCAAAGCCAGCACCTTCATCAAGGGTTCCCAGCGGGCGAAATATCTCATTTACAACTAACAATCCAGTTTTGAGGGGTGTGGCAAAGCTTCAGCAGCTACAATGTTTGGGACGAAATTCGGCAAATGTTTTTCAGCACGTGGAACGCCTGTTCCTGCGTGGTGCCTCATACGCGTCAAAACAAAACATTGCACGATGTGTTTTTATAGAGAGCGGCATCGTCAACGGGATGATCTTGGGCTGAAAGGCTTTCTTCTCGCCTAAATAGTTCTCCTAACGGGCAGTTGCTGCAGTAAAATCTGGGCTACAAACGAATTAAAATTCGGCACGAAATTAATGGAGGGGTCTGTCCCGATAATATGTTGAGAAATGCATAAAGCCCATCATTGTCTTTCTCCCTACCGTGAATACGAGAGAACACCGGGGAGAAAGAATTTAAGAGATGCCTGGAACGAGGGAAAACCCGACACCCCCGACACCGGCGCCCGCGGCGGCAGCCGCTCCTGCGGGAACTTGCCCACTCCGACGAGCTCGTCGGCTCGGTTCGATGCGGCGACCAGCCCCCGCGCGGACTTGCCACGCTTTACCACGACAGATTCCTTGGGGGTGGTACCATCGCTAGACCTGGCGAGGGTGGTCTGGCCCCACGGGCCAACGGCAGACGCAGGCGACGGTGGACTCGCCGTATACCAGGCTGTGACCATCGTCACGACTCTGCCCCTCGTGCCGGGGGGGGGAAACTTCATGGACGTCCTGCGTGACGCCGAGAAGACAGGAAAGTCGACCGGCGTGGGATCTCCTACCTTCCGCCAGTTGAGCGCGGTGAAGCAGGTAGTGGAGCATGTTGTCGACCTAGTCCACCATCACGGTGTACTGCTTGTGTCGGGAGAGCATGTGCTGCTTCACGGGGCAAAGGAGGTGCAGCCGGAGCCCCCTTCCGCGGCCGGAGGAGCTTCCGCGGCCGGAGGAGCAGCCGCGGGAGGATCCGTAGGCTCGGGAGCTGGGGCGTCGGCTAGTGTTCCTCCGATGGCGGGTCTGCAGCACGTAGACCTCACCGGGGGAGCGGGGGCCCGGGGCTCGACCGTGAGCGGAGCGAGTGGGAGTGAAGCGGACACGACCGCCGCTATAGCCGTAAGCCGCCTTAATCATCCCTGTAACGGAATACACGAAAGTTTGGGTGGATCAACCAGGCTCCAGGCCAGTGGCCAAGGACAACACACGGCTAGGAAAGTATGGGTGGGCCACGGGCCGAAGCTGGAGGCCTCGTCCCAAAATCTAATGATCCTAGGCCAAGAGCAAAAAACAACAGTAAAATCTGGGCTGCAGCCGAATTCAAAATCGGCACGAAAATGAATGGAGGCGTATGTCTTGATAATATGTTGAGAAATGCATATTGCCGATCATTGTCTTTCTCCCTACCGTGAATACGAGAGAACACCAGGTAGGAGAGGAAGAAATTTGAGACCGCCCACCCTCCCTACTCTTATTGATGCTTCTGGATCATTTACAGATTCATTACCGCGCCGACCGCAGTCGGCGCGATAGTGCATCTATGGGACTACCGGTCTCAGAGCTGGAGGCCTCATCCCAAAATCCACTACTTACATTAAAGGATCCTAGGCCAAGAGCAAAATACAACAGGAAACATCCCCGTCTCCCTCGGGGAACACTTGCAGGAGATACACTGCATTCACACTGTTGCGCTCTCTACTGCATTCGCGAATTTGCTTGTTAAGTTTCAGAAGCAGATGCGCACACCAAAATGGCTGAACCGTAAGTAAGGCTCACCTGCGGTGGTAGGCGCACGCGCATGGGTAGAAAGCAAGCGAAGTGGCGATGATCAACAGCGCGGGAACAACCCGGCCGTTGAGATTGTTGCTCCAGCTTCGCTCAACGCAGATGGCACAGACGATGGCCAGAAAGGTGCTTACAATGCTTTCGCAATAGTCATCGACGCCACAACATGCGATACCAGCACACACGACAGGAACGAGGAAGGGAGGTCTTCTTGTGACAACGCAGGCATGGTCATGGACGGACGTGCGGGTTGTGGCTTGGCATGTGTCCCGAGGCATATTTGCTAGCACCGGTGATGCCATTTCAAGAGTAGAAAGTAGACACCGATCATATGCCCCGTCCTCTCCTAACCTTCCCTCCGGAAGCATTACACCTCAGCCTCGTCGCCGCCCTTTGCTAACACCACTCAATAGTGCACTAGTTGTCTTCATTTTGCAGACAGGTTGTTACCCGTAACTTGTAATTTTCTTGGCACCTTTGGTTGCACCTCCTTCCGCGAAAGGCCTCGGCGCCCTTGGTTAACCCTTTTGTGTCTACACCCCTCCTGAGTGTCGATAAGAATGTTGTTACTCTTCCTGTCGCACAAGTTTTTCGTCGACACTGCAAGCGCGGGCTCGATAGCGCGAAAAGATCACGTTCTCAGAGGAAGTCCCGGCGCAAGTAATACACGAGCAGGGAGTTCCACTGCGGTGCAGATCCGCGAGTGCGCGCCAGACCACACACACACACAGACGCCAGCAGGTGCGATGAAGACAAAAATTTTCGCCCTGCTGGCGGGTTTTCTCCACCGCACCATCATGGCTACTGCTGCTGCTGCTGCCGTGTCTGCCGCTGCTCTTCGCCCCGAACCTGAAGTCGAAGTTACGGGTGTGTGCACACCCCAAGAGCTCCTGCCTCAAGCCTACCGCCTCGGCCGTGACGCGGCCAACAAGACGGGGTTTGAGTCCAGTCTTCCCAAGGTGAACCGGAATCCCGCCGCACGTTCACGCCCCCGGGAGAAGCTCAAGCGCACGAGGTTGGCGGAGATGGGGATTGTGCTTACCACGCCTTGCTGAAAGGTCTCCAGGCGATTCTTGGACAGTCGAACATGCGTGTTCCACGAATGTCTGATGGTGTGAAGAGTGCCCTCAAACACAGCATCATCTCCCACATCCTAGGACCATCAGCGTCGCAAGCGGTCATGACCACTCTGCTTTCGACTGAGCAGACGCGTCGGGCTCGCGCTCTTCAGTGCACTGAAACTTTGCGGATGCATCCATATGAGCTGAACACCCCTGAACCCGCGGACAAAGGCGTGATGACCTACGGTTGTCTGGATTCGATAGTGCAAGAGAAGCTACGGACGGAAGTGGCTAGACTTGTGCTGGCTTTCACTCATCCCCTAAATGCACGGGGTCAACATTGCGGTTTGCAAGCCTACCGGGAGAGGGCAGTTGGTGCAGCTGTACAAGAAGAACATGTGGGGCCTCTTCCTGTTTGACAAAAAAATCAAGCACGACGAAGGGGGGCATAAGTGGGTGCACCTGTCATACCGCAGGAGTAGTTGGGAAGCGAGAACCGAAGTTGGGGGTGACGAAAATACGGTGTCTCGCCACAACCACTTCGACTTTCTAGAGCTCGGTGCAGATTTTGAAGCTGAGTTCGACGCTATCATCTCCGTCGCCCGGTCTGGAGGAGAGGGCGACGGCGAAACTTCGCTGCCGTCACCTGTGCCGGTGAAAAGGAGGAGGGCGGCGGGGAGTGCGGAGACGACGTTGAAGCGGCAACGCACGAGCACGAAGACTTCGCAGCTGGAAGATGACGACGGGCCGCTGGCGCAATCGAAGCGCAAGCGGACGGCGAAGAGCGATGGGGGTAGCAAGAAAAAACAAGGGCCAAGCGGAGAAAGCAAGGGGAAGTCAGGGGGAGGTGGCGCGGCCGGCAGCACGGGGGGGGGAAACTACGACTCCGATGGGAGCATTGGCGACGAGGGCACGGACTGGACTTATCTCGGATGCAGAGGCGCGCTCCCTTCTCTCACAAGGAGTCAACAGTTGCTGCGGCGCAAGCTGAACAAGATCCCTGAACCAGCGTACAAGGCGGCGTTCAAACGTACGAGCATCATGAAAGCGAAGGCCGAAAAGGTGTGTTCTGTGTCCCGCGTTCCTCTTGTGATCGTGTGTGATTGCGCATCCGTTAGGGCGTGCTTGTAGGAGTGTGTGCCTTTTGTCTTGTGTCGGCGACTGATGTGTCGTGTTATGTTCTGTACCGGGTTGAACCTCTGGTTGACGTGCTTTGTTTGGGGCAGTGACACATAATTGCAATGGCCTCTTGTGATCTATTCTTTGTTTCCGCGGGTCTTTTCCTGCGGTGTTGTGTAGTGCAACTAATTTTCTCGTATCACGTACAACGCCCCTTCGTCGTTGGTTGTACGCAATGGTTCCGTCGTGGTCGACGCCGTTGTACTGTCGCTTGTCCATGACGGTTGTCAGGAATATTTGCTGCTGTACATTGTTCAGTCCGAAAACGTGTGGCCTACTTCCACGCCCCGGCCTCACGCCCATAGTGATACGCTTATGGTTGTTTTTCGCGCGTGTGTCCACATTTTCACCAGTTGTTCTTGTTTTGTCCCAACCATCGCTGTTCACGTTTGTTTGTTCGCTGGGCGTGTTGAACGCAGCTCTAATATGAACGGCAGAAGAAGAAGGAAGCCACCAACCCCAAGCGGAAGAAAAAGTCCAAGTCCAGGAAGTCGCCACCCCCAGAGCTGGAGGAGGAGAGCGGTGACGAGGAGGTGGTGTGGACGGAAAGGGGGATGGAGGACTACGAAACGTCCAACCACTTCACGAGGCGCAACTAGATGTCAAAAGACATCGGGCGTGGAGTTTCGTTGTCGGCAGAGGCTCGCGCCGCGCTGCCATCGTTGGACAACTTCATGTCGCACCAGAACCCTACCAGCGGGTAGTTTTCGCTTGACCTCGTCTTGGAGAAGTGCTTGGACCTCACCTTCCCGCAAAAGGCGCGAAAGTGGTTTTTGGATAAGGTATGTTAATAATGTTGTTGTCTTGTTGCGACACGCACCGCTTTGCTTTCGTGTGTCCCGTGGTGCGCGTGTGTGCGGAGTATTGAAACAGGAATTTCATTGCTTGCAATGGTGAAACCGAATATGATCGATGAAGGTGCATAAACAACCCGAGACCTACCGCCCGCCCTCTCTTGGGTACCCATCCACCCCGCACAAAGTCGCTGCCCCCCTGCTGCCGTGCGCCCAATAGCTCTGCCACGATTCTGAAATAGCCTTGCACACGGCTTTGACTCGAAACCTGCCTCGAAGCGCGCCCCCGTCTAACCTCCGTGTCTCTCTCCCCCACCCCGCCCCCGCTCCTCCNCTGCCACGATTCTGAAATAGCCCTGCACACGGCTTTGACTCGAAACCTGCCTCGAGACCCGCCCCCATCTAACCTCCGTGTCTCTCTCCCCCACCCCGACCCCCCTCCTCCGTTATTTTGTGGGCAGACGAACGCCTACGTCAAGCACTGCACGACGGCGCCGCCGCCCGGGGAGGAGGACAAGCGGAAGCCACACCAGATGAAGAAGTCCGCAACGCTCGGTCGCGTCACGCTCGGGGAGCTGTCCGAGGAGCGCAACACCTACGGCATGTTCGAGGAGCAGCACATCGACAGCATGATCGGCATTTTCATCACCATGGGCCTCACGAAGAAAGTCCGGATGCGAAAGCACTGGAGCCGGTCCGCCCACGACAACTACCCGCTGGTCCAGAAGTGCATGTCGCGCGACGTGTTCGAGCTCTTGTACTGCCGCTTCCTTCACTGCTCCGACCCCAACGCTCCGGAGCGACTGCTACCCGATGGCGAAGAAAACCCAGATTCTACTACGACTCCAAGTGGCATATCAGGTGTTTTCGTTTTCAATCTGTATGTCCTGTTGAAAACCTGGGTTGTCGATTTCGTTTGGGTCTCGTCGTTTCGGTTTTGTTGCAGTTGGGATGGTGGGGGCGGGACAGACGTGGGTCGAAGGGTACCGAAGCCCCCCGGAAAGTCGAAGATTCTCCCCCGTCTACGGCGCCGCTATTTCATGTGCGGGCCGTATGGTTTGTTTTTGGTTTGCTGGCAGTGAAGTTTGGCACATGCACGCTCTAGGAGTAGAGGTTTCTTCCGTCGAGTACATCACCCGGCACTCAATTTTATCTTGTAGTCGTCCTGGTGCGGTAGATAGAAATGACAAATGACGAGCGTGATCCTGCCGGTAACGGCCCACCCTTCAAAGTGCTGTGTTTCTGGTGCTCTTCCCTGTCTGGCAGAGAGCTAGAAGAGATCCTCAACACTCATGGGCGACGAACGTCGAGTGTGACAATTGGTTGTCGTACGATGAGCAAACGATCAAGGCTGTTTCGAAGTACTCGAGCAAGGTTTCTTTCTACTGCCCGGCGAAGCCCATCAAGCACGGTGAGCATGCGCACGCATTTGAAAGCTTGTCTCACGAAAAGGGTCGCCGAGGGTAGTTTGACCTTGGTACACGTGAACAATCCGATGTGTTTCTTGTCAAAAGTAGAGAGAGGTAGGGGTTGAGGGGGGCCGTCGAGTTGGGTGGTGGCACTTATCCACGCCCCGGTGCGGCGTTTTCCCGCTTCTTCCACAACGCCATTTTTTTTTCTTTACATCACTGATCGCAGACTCCGGAGATCATTGATACGCCTTGGTGTCAACAGCTGCTGGTTCCGACGTTAGTCTTGCCACAGCTGGTCCCTTCGGCCTCCCTGTCGGCGGACGTTCGTCCGTTTTTTTCTTGATGTGTGCCAGGCATGAAGCTACTAGCGGCGTGCGATATCACGGGCTACTGCTTAACCAGCAGCGTGGATGGCGGCATGAAAGGTGACCCCAAGCTTCGCCCTTACATGGACTGCCCGCTCGGCCGGACTACTCGCCACGTGCTTCACGTTCTGTTGGGGGAGTGCGGCGTGTTGAGGCAGAAGATCGATGGCTCGGGGGTATTCATCGCCATGGACAACAACTTCACCTCCCCCACTCTGTTCGAGTGCCTCGCCTCCCACGACATCTTCGCTGTAGGTACCTGCCGCGCCGATCGGACTGCCGGCGCTGATGCGTACCTCGAGAGCCTCGGGCGTACNGGGGTATTCATCGCCATGGACAACAACTTCACCTCCCCCACTCTGTTCGAGTGCCTCGCCTCCCACGACATCTTCGCTGTAGGTACCTGCCGCTCCGATCGGCGGCGCTGATGCGTACCTCGAGGGCCTCGGGCGTACCATTCCTAACCGCGGCGACATGAACTTCTGCCGTTCGGGGCAAGTGGCGTGCGTGCAGTGGGCTGACTCCAAGGATATCTTCCTCATCAGCACCATCCACGTCGCGCAACCGGCCAAGGGAAAGCAGGAGGCAGGTGGAATCGACCACTTCAAGCCTTTGCCTCTATCGTGAGTCTGACTAGTGTTCTTCTTGACTTTTTTCCGGTAAGCATGTTGTCTACGCTGGTCTTGTCTGAACGCACGAGCACGAGTGCATCCGCGGGGGGTGGGGGGTAGGGGGGAACGGGGTGCGTTTGAGAGACTCAGTACATTCGCAGCCGGAGTCGGATACTGTGTCGTGCTACCTCTGTTGACGGTGGTCGTCCTTGTGCTCAAGCCTGTGCCCCACATCCATGCACCCCTTTTGCTCGCCAGCCTAAGCCTGTTCGTCCCTCTTTTCACACGCAGCCCCCTCGCAACTTTTTCCTGTGCGTCTTCTGTTGTGCAGACTGAGAGCGAAGGGCCGCAACGGGGAACCTCTGGATTTGCCGCAGCCTTGGGTGCGTATTGATTACGTTTGAAGATGTTGGGGGTGGATTCGACCGACCAACAGAACGGGTCTCACACGCACGACCACAAGTCCTACACGAACTTCTGGCGCCGTGTGTATGACGCAAAGTTGGAGCAGGCGCTGACCAACGCGTTTCTGATTTTTCGCAAGCGGGTAGGACTTTTGATCGGAGAGGTAGAGGCCTTGAAGCCCATTGCACCAGGGGGTGAGTTGGAAGAGTTGGAGCTTGCGTCGACGGAGTTGGCGACACTGTCGAAGGTAGAGCGGGCTGTGTGGGATGAACAGATGGCAACGCTCCTTATGGCGAAGTGTAACGTCGCGAGGCCCAACAAGGGTGGGAGGCGTCCGGCCTCGGACAACAAGCCGGCCGACCCCGTGTGGGGTAGCGTCACCCTCAAGAGTGGACGCCTGTGCTTGAACCCTACTTGCAAGACGAGGTCGACGAAAGGGTGCTCGTGCAAGCAATTTTGCACACGGGGGGATAAGTCTGGGGTTTTGATGTGCGAAACANGTAACGTCGCGAGGCTCAACAACGGTGGGAGGCGTCCGGCCTAGGACAACAAGCCGGCCGACCCCGTGTGAGGTAGCGTCACCCTCAAGAGTGGAAGCCTGTGCTTGAACTCTACTTGCAAGACGAGGTGGACGAAAGGGTGCTCGTGCAAGCAATTTTGCACACGGGGGGATAAGTCTGGGTTTTGATGTGCGAAACATGCCGGAAGAGCCCGGAGTCTCACGAGCAGGCGGCGAAGGCTTACTGGGATGGTGTGTCCAAGGGCCGCAACAGAAAAGGGTTCGAATGGTAGAGGGGTTCAGTTGAGACTGCTGATTGAGGCGCACCTGTGATTCGCACTTGTGTTGCGTTTAGTTCTTGGGGGCCGTTGTGTGATGGTTGTGCCAGGGTAGCCCGGGTTGTGCCAGGCACACTGCTCGGCGTTCGTTCGCGTTTGGAAGGAAAATGTCGATAAGTAGCCTGAACCCCCCCCCCTCCCGCTTTTCGGTGTGTTTTGAAAATTTGAGGGGTGTCACGTTCGGGCTGTGACGGGGGTGAGCGTGGTGAGTGACTCTGCATACAATTACCAGGAGAGAATATTCGTGCCCGTTCTTCTTGTGTTGATGTGAGGTGGGATAAATGAGCTTAATTCGAATGCCAAANAACCTCCCCCCCTCCCGCTTTTCGGTGTGTTTTGAAAATTTGAGGGGTGTCACGTTCGGGCTGTGACGGGGGTGAGCGTGGTGAGTGACTCTGCATACAATTACCAGGAGAGAATATTCGTGCCCGTTCTTCTTGTGTTGATGTGAGGTGGGATAAATGAGCTTAATTCGAATGCCAAACGAATTGAACGCACATGTTCTCGTGCACCTGTCGGAATCCCCGTGAACCTCCAAGATATTCCTGAAGGACAGACGAAATAAACTCTCGAAAAAGAACCAAGACACATGGAACCACGTTTCCGAATGTCTTTCTTGCCAAACTTTTTGTTTTAATTTATATATCTTTATTCATTTGTGACACCCCAAAGAGCAAGTCCGCCCTGCTCCGCGCGACCGACAACAACCGTGACGAACTCGTGNTAAACTCTCGAAAAAGAACCAAGACACATGGAACCACGTTTCCGAATGTCTTTCTTGCCAAACTATTTG